ATCCTTATGTTGTTTCTTCTCAACTGGACCCTTAGCAGCTTCCTTATCATTCTTCCTTTTCTTGCCCTTATCCTTAGAGGCATAGGCCAAATGAGCACTTTCTGTCTTATCTTGCTTCAACCTGTCTTCTTCTTGCACACAGTATGAAATGAGCTCATTTAGAGTCCATTTCTCCTTTTGACAGTTATAACTGACCTTAAATTGGTTAAACTGTGCAGGAAGAGACAACAAAACCAGATGCACTAATAACTCGTCACAAAGATCGAGTTTAAGTGCCTTAAGCTTTGAAGCAATATGAGACATTTCCATAATGTACTCCCTGATATTTCCTTTGCCCTTATACTTCATTGAAATCAAGCGAGCTAAAAGCGTGCTTGTTTCTACCTTATCGTTTTTCGCAAAACGCTTCTCAATTTCGGCAAGGAAATCTTTAGCCTTAGTAATCCCTTCGGATTCTATGCCCCTGAAGGCTTCCGGAACGCCGCGCTTAATGATCATAAGACTCATGCGATTTGAACGCTCCCACTTCTCATGCTCCTTCTTTGCATCAGGAGTGCTATCCGCATTGAGAGGTTGGGGTTGTTCAGTTCTTAATGCATAGTCAAGATCCATGCAGCCAAGAACAATTAATATGTTCTCTTTCCAAACCTTGAAGTTTGTCCCATTTAGCATGGGAATTGAGTTGATGTTAGCAGAAATTGTTGCAGCAGATGCATTAGCTGAAATAAAACAAAAATGCTCACATCAATAACCATAATCAATAAAATTCAAATAATGACAATCCCCATCCAAGATACCGGCACAACATTAATATCAAGTCTTTGGACAGTAATATTAACTTGTAAGTGATACCTTGTTGCAATGATCAAACATTGACAATAACTCATGTCAAATAATGAAACTATCTTTGGATCGATTCATTATTCACATGTAAACCTTATAATTGTCACACGCTTATCATCGCAGATGTGTATACAGTCTAAATAAATATTAACCTTCCTTTGGGCCGATTAAATATTTACACGAAAGCATACACACAAACATCTCACATTCCTCATGAACAATCTACACAAGAGAGGTTACTTTGGCAACTTCTTGTTTCAATTAATCAATTGGAGTGAGAGACAACCTTAATACCTTAGTGTCATAATATTTGAATTAAATAATTGATTAAAAACCAAATTAGATTTAAATTAAAAAGTTTTAATTTAAATCAACTGAATTTCCAAAAACTTAATTGGGGTCTCACAGCTTAATTAGGGCCCATAACTTAATTGAATAAATTAAGTATACCAAAGTGGACCCATGAAAAGCCGAGGCTTAACCATAATGAACACGAAGTTCCCTTAACTTCGAACGCGAGGTTCGACTGTATTGAGTACGAGACTCACTTAAGCACGAACGCGAGGTTCGTCTGAAAATGAACGAACGCGAGGTTCGTTTGATAAAAGAACGCGAGGTTCAACTTGGGAACGAACGCGAGGTTCGTTTAAAAAATGAACGCGAGGTTCGACTGAAGTACGAACGCGAGGTTCGTCTGAAGTACGAACGCGAGGTTCGTCTGAAGTTCGAACGCGAGGCTCGACTGAAGCACGAACGCGAGGTTCGTCTGAAGTACGAACGCGAGGTTCGTCTGAAGTACGAACGCGAGGTTCGTCTGAAGTACGAACGCGAGGTTCGTCTGAAGTACGAACGCGAGGTTCGTCTGAAGTACGAACGCGAGGTTCGTCTGAAGTACGAACGCGAGGTTCGTCTGAAGTACGAACGCGAGGTTCGTCTGAAGAACGAACGCGAGGTTCGTTAAAAAAATTGAGCTTGACGCTCACCTGAGTTGAACGCGAGGTTCACCTTAGAACGAACGCGAGGTTCGTTAAAATTGAGCTTGACGCTCACCTGAGTTGAACGCGAGGTTCACCTTAGAACGAACGCGAGGTTCGTTGAGCGCGAAGCTCGGTTAAAATTGAACGAACGCGAGGTTCGTTTGAGGTAACCACCTCCTTAATTTTCGCCATGAACCCTTAGGGTTTCAAATTGAAACCGCCGCCGACAAACCCAAAAAACCTTTGATTTTTATTTTCAAAACAGATCCAGAATTGGAAAAAATTGAAGGAAAAATCAAAGAAAAATCCAAAAAATTCCCAAAAGTTACTGTTCACCCGAAAAAAATACTTTACTGTTCATCCGAAAAAAAAATTCGTTACTGTTCATCCGAGAACATTACTGTTCATCCGAACCCAAAAATTGAATCTTTAACCAGAGATTTAAGATCAAAAACCCAATAAAACTTAAATCCCTAAGAATTAATCAAGGTGGCTCTGATACCACTTGTTAGATCTACATCATAAAACTTGAGATCTAAAACCATATAGCCATGATTAATTCAAAGAGATTAACAAAATCAAAAGAGCGGAAGCTTATACCTGAATCCATGGATGAACCTTGAGATGGGTTTTGGATCTTCTAACCTTAGGGTTTCTCTAAATCCGAATTTCTCTAGCTAGATGGGGGTGTAGAGAATTAGAGAATGTAACCCTAGGTTAGGGACCATAACCCCTTATTTATAGATGTTGTACTTTTGTAATTTAGCCCCTCAATAAATTACAATTACAACCTGGTATCTGCACATATGACCCCATGATCATTTAAATACCAAATTAACCCAACTTAATTGATCACTTTAGTGGGTTATCCTGAAAGATAGCAATACACATTGATTAATCATATGTGCCCACAAATAGATTTATTAGATTAAATCCAACAATCTCCCACTTGGGCACCATATGATTCCTTAAATTGTGTATAACCTTATGAGCTCAAAAATTGCTATCACTGAAAAGGTATTTCCGAACAATCTCGTCCATTGACTATATCAATATAGGATCAAAGCGGCCTTCGTCACATTTATCGTGACTCGACCCATCAATGGTCACATATACCAATACAATCAAACGACATAGATCAATCATGGATGTGCAGCATGAAAATTACATGCAATGTGATCAGTACATGTCTATTTTCAACTGGTCCTCCTTAGTGAGGTCAAAACCAAACATAATGTAACAGAGTGTCTTAACTGAAAACTTTATTCTGATCAGACAATACAAACAAACATAAAGCACCACAAATACAAACTCCCACTAAAACATAATATCCTCAAATAATACCACACCCATATGAGCAGTATGCTCATGAAAGACCTTAGGTGGCAATCCCTTAGTAAGAGGATCAGCTATCATGGAGTTTGTCCCAATGTGCTCTATGGATATCTGTCCACTCTGTACCCTTTCTTTCACAACCAGGAACTTAATGTCAATATGTTTTGACTTAGTTGAGCTCCTGTTGTTATTGGAATACATTACTGCAGATTTATTGTCACAATATAACCTTAGTGGTCTTTCAACATTTTCCAAAATGCGCAGTCCCGTGACAAAATTTCGCAGCCATATTCGGGGGGGGGGGGATGCAACACTGTTAAGTATTTGATTTATAAAATACATAGTGTGTCAAAACAATAGGATTTCTATGGAAACCACCCATATAAAAGTGGGGTGGTTTACATCATTAATAGAATAACTATGATTCACAAACTAATAATTTAATCACCCATAAGTAGGATAGATTACCATATTGGATAATGTGTTCTGATAGAATCCCTAACCTAACCACTTAGAATAAAAATTTACATGTTAAAATGAAATATAACAACTTACATGTATAGAAAACTGCTATAGCACTTTTAATTTAGGGAAAACAAATCTTTGTGAAGTGGGTGAATTTAAAAATAAATGAGCTTAAAACCTTTAACATATAGGAAAAAACCGATCTACCATTTGCGACATTACAACGATGTGAAAAAACCCTAAAATAATGCTTAAGCATTTGGTCTAAAACACTATATACGTAGATTCTTAGAAAAGAAATATAGAAAGTCAAAGTGGATTATAACAACTTAAACCATATGTACAAACCATCACAAATTGAGTTTAAAAACATGTTGGTGTAGTTTCTAAGAGTGATTTCGAGGTGTGTAGTTTAGAAATAAATAGATCTAATACTTTAGATTTATGACAAAAAAAAAAAATCCTTGAAATGGTATGTTTGAAAATAAACAAGGATACGATTTATATCTAAATAACCTGACTCCAGTTGCGACTTATGATATAACAAATTTATGAAATATAAATTAAGTTTAAAAGTAACTAATTAGAGTATTTTAGGTCAAAAACTGAATATCAAGTGAGTGAATTTAAAAATAAATATCTAAATAACCTGACTCCAGTTGCGACTTATGATATAACAAATTTATGAAATATAAATTAAGTTTAAAAGTAACTAATTAGAGTATTTTAGGTCAAAAACTGAATATCAAGTGAGTGAATTTAAAAATAAATTAGGGAAATTTTGGGCTTATAGCAAAAAAACTCTTTATATGGTCCTCTGTTATATTATTATATTATATTATTGAAGTTGATGGAGTATTTTAGGTTTATGATTAATTTTTCAAGTGGGTGGGCTTAAAAGTAAATTGGGTCAGCTTATTGGATTTATAGATAAAAATCTTATTTATTTATTATCATATTTAACTACATAGAACTGATATTGTAGAGCTGAGAAAAGTTTCAAACTCGCGGAGCATTATGTACTTGAGATTGATTTTTGAAGTGGTGGACTTTTAAGCAAATTGACTTGAACATTGGGTTTGTAAATAAAATTACTTATTGTCTCTTTTAATAATAAGCTATTGGGATGTACACTATAATGAATAGTGCTAAGCCGGAGTACTAACCCCAATAGCTTTAATATATAGATAAATAAATATAGACTTAACATAAGAGTATACTTACATTCCATTAAAAAAAAGTTCAATTTAGAAAAAACGTTCAAGAGTAGCTGACTAAAAAAGGGTTTACTTTGCAATAATTTATGAGATGCCGGAGTTCTAATATAAAGTTTAGTGTTTTCAGGGATTAAGTTATAATATTGAACTAACATATAAAACGCCTAATAATAAGACGAGGTCGACCTAACAAAGCTCCTATCCGTCCCCTCGATCGACCGACGCGAAATCACAGAGGTCAGTAATGGCGGCTTCAATGGCAAGATCAGGCCTCCGATTCCTTCGCCGGGGATCAAACACCGGCTCAAAGTCCCTCCTTTCCAACAAAAAGAACTTCTCCGCTTCTTCTCATCACGACGACGCTTGTAAATTTTCTTCCCCCTTTCGATTGGATCTTCCAATTTTAGAAATGAGGGCTAGGGTTAGGGTTTCTTTTTCTCTGATTCAGATCTTTCTATTGACTATTTTTGTTTTGCGTCATTTGATTAGATGAGACTGCGAAATGGGAGAAGATAACGTATGCTGGAATCGTGACTTGCACGATCCTTTCGATCTATAATCTTTCCAAGGGCCACCCTCACCATGAAGATCCTCCGGTAATTTTTTTCTCTGCAATTGCAACTTTTAAAAACAATTTTTTTTTGTTTGTGATGCTGATTTTTATAAAAAAAAAACTAATCTTTTCGCCCCCCTTTTGGCAGGCTTACCCGTATTTGCACATTCGTAACAAGGAATTTCCATGGGGTAAGTGTTCTTATTATCCTTTCCCTTCTCTATTTAGGTTTTCCGTGTTGTCTTGAGGTATTATTATTTTTCTGATAATAGCTAGGGAATAGAAGGGATAACAAATGATTGAGATGACTAGAATCCAGCTTGATTATTATGGTTAACAGGTTGTATTCTTTTAGGGTGTCTTACTTTAAGTGTTAATCCGGCTTGATTGTAAAATGTTGTAGTTGCTTTAGAATTTAGAGACAAATCGGTTCATTTGGTTGTTTTATCTCAGGTGACATGGCCTTTGATTACTTAAAATGTTATATTCAGTTAATTGCGATTGTTGTTTCACTTGAGGTTGTCTAAATTTGGTATTTGTTTTATTTATCGAAGGTAAAATGGAACATGTCTGGATGAATGTAACATAAGGTTCCCTTGATCTTGAAAGAAAGGTCTTTTATGTCTTCCATCAAAGTATTTGAGAGTTAAGACCAAAAGCTAATTGTCCAGATGATTCAAATTTCAAATGAAAGAAAAGATAACAAGCTGAGTTAAATTCTGTACACTATAAACGAAAACAAATCTTTTATTTTCATAGTAGGTCAGGTTCCTTAATTTTCTGACAATTACACTTTAGATATGCTTTATTTTGTACAAGATTGATTGATTCGCTAAGAGAGATTGGTCAGTCCCTTTGCAACAAAAGCATTGATAATGACATGTAGAATACAGACAATATAAGGTTTACTTATGGTGAAAAATAATAACTTCATTCTTTCTCCCACCAAACAATTAGATGGTTTATAGATAATTGTCAACATGACTAAGCATCTATCAAAGAATAATTCTCGACATGATGAAGAATCCCACATAAAGTAAAATTCAAGACTAATCAAATATGTCATTGTTCTCGTTCAACGTCTCCAATGCTTTGACGACATGATTCGTTGTTTAAATAAAAACTTTTGCACAATCTCTTGTTAAGAGAACGTAAATCAATAACCAATTCATTCAAAAACAGGTTGAAGAAATTTATCTTTCAAGTTTGCTGTTAAATTCACAATAAAGAAACTTATAATTGGGTTCCAATTCTAAATAAATATCTCTTCTAGGATAATGATATCAAATAAAAGAAATTAGCTTCTATTGGGAAAAATACCTATTAAGTTGCAGAATTAAAGTTTTCTTCTTTGTGTGATAAAATATGCAAGGTAAACTACAAGCGAAAATAGTAAATGAGGCACGCTAATTTTATGTAGAAAACCCACTAATGTTTGGTTTGGTAGGAGGTATGAGAAGGGCAAGTGAGGTGGGAGAAGGGCAATGAGGTTGTTAGGAAAGACTTACCTTTTGTACTTCTTGTTTGGTTGGGAGGAGGGTGAGGGGTTTATATAATATTTTCTTGTTTGGTTGAGGGAATGGAAAGGGAGGTGAGATGTTGAGTTAGTTAAAGTACAATATTGCCTTTTTGTAAAGAAGAGAGATGAAGTTTTTTTTATTTTTTTTATTTTTTTTTTTTTTGGGGGGGGGGGGGGGGGGCAAG